CACAAAAAAAAAAAAAAAAAAAAAAAAAAAAAAAATACAAACGGGTATTCGTGGAGAGGCACTTTCGTACACATATCCACGCGAGCTAATTAATCTCCCCAATGGGCGTGAACAAACCTCAAGAGGGATTCATGGGGGGGACTAAAGTAAGTAGTTAGGACCCCACTAGGGTAAATCAAAACGGAGAGCTGGGAAAAAAAAAAAGAGCGCACATGTGTATATGCACACACGAGACCCACGAACGTTCTTCCAATGGTTGAGTAAAGGTGAAGTTAACCCGTCCGGGGGTGTCACTGGTTGTCTTTCTTCCATCCCTCAGGGTGTTTTTTCCGACAGACGAACTCGATTAGCCATTCCGCTTCTCTCCTTTTTCACGAGGGGGTAACTACTCGAGGTAACTGCATGGGGGTTGGTTATTTTTTTTCCAACCTCTTAGTTTACCCCCTACCCGTATGGACGTCTTCACCGGCGGGTCACTTGTTTGAATTCTGTTCCTTGTGGCGCTTCTTATCCCGTTTGGCTTTTGTCATTCCCTTCTGCCTTATCCAATTGCTCACTTTTTGTTTTCATTTTTTTTTTTTTTTTCATTCCGATGAGGGGCTGCTCCACGTTCGCAATTTCGATCACGTCACTGGGTTTGAATTTTGTGTTGCACGCTGTGCACGCATTTTCCTGCGGGGGGAAGAAGAGGTGAGAAGCAGAGGTGAGTCACAGACCATAAAAAGGATATGGATGAACGAGTAAAGTGTGTAGGTGGGGGGGAAATCACATCTATGTGAGTTGTCCTACACACCGCGATTCAATGCTGCACGTCGTGCCCCCCCCCCTTTTGCGCGCACACCTACCTTGGCGATGTTCGCATGACTGAAGACCTTTTTGGAGAATACACAGCCGCAGGAGAAGAGGCACATGGCCCCGGAGGAGGGATTAATAATTTCGTTCGAGATGGAGCAAACCAATTTGTTCTCTTCATTTAATTTATTTTTGCAGAGCACCAAGTCTTTAAGGGACTCGATGTGACCAAATGCTTCGTAGTGCGTGTCGTCCATTTTGCGTTTCTTCTTCTTTTTGCCTTGCTTGGCCAAAATGAGGTTCAAGATGTGCTCCGTGTTGTACAGGTATCCGAGGCGGCAGCAGAAGAAGGGGTCCTTGAGCGATTCCTACAGGGGGGAAGCGCGGCCAGGATGAGAATCGCTCGGTGGGGGCAGGCGCAGCGAAACAGGGAACGCCCCTCAAAATGGGCAAATCAGCGCCACTCTCCAGTTTATATCATCTCCACTCTGGGCCCACCTGCGAGATCGCGCAGTGACTCATGTAATGCTCCTTCAGCTCCTTCTTATTGTTCCTGCACTGGTTCACCGTCACGAGGGTGTTTTTGCCATAGCCCAGGCTGCCTGTGCTTTCATTTAGTCTCTTGTGTTTCATTCGAACCAAGTCCACCCTCTGGGGCAAACTTCCTCCGTCTCCCCCCATTCTCGATTCGCAGTCCTTCCAGCGGAGGGGGGGTTACAAGAGACCCAAAAAAGTTTTATCCCGCTGGGGCTCCTTTAACTGGGCCGACCTTTTTCACGTGCAGGGGTAAGGCTACATTCGCATGTTCTGGCGGAACATTCATGAAAAAAAAAAAAAAAAAAGGGTAACAAAAAAGAGTGACAAAAAAGGATTATAGGGGATCATAAAGGAGTGTCACAAAACAGAGCATCAAGGGGGGTATGTCCTCTTCTCCCTGTCCGCGCAGTATCCCACGTTATGTGTCCTTTCCCAATATGGTGCTTCTTCGTACACGTCGCTCGCCCGCTCCGACACTCCCGTGCAGACGTAACCAAGTGACAGAATTAAATACATTTGCGTAAATCAGTCGTATGGCTAAACGTTGTCGCCTTTCACACTTGGTCCACGTAAGCGTGTTGGGGTGACTCCTTTTTTGTGTGTTCGCAAATACAAGGCCTTCACTCTGCGTCGTTCAGCGTTATTGGTTGGCTGACGTGTAGCGCTGGGCAATTTTTTGCGTCCATTAAAAGCGCCTACCATTCAGCAATTTTTTTTTTTTTTTTTTTTTTTTTTCCCAAGGGGCAACTCAATTGGATCGAACAGTTACACGGACGTCACTTTAAAACGTACAATTTAAAAGGGAGTGACGAGCGAACGTTTCGCGCGGTGAGCATGGACTGGCACAGGAGCCACGTACGCAGTGTGATGGATTAAGCAAACGCGCACGGGTACACGCGCAATACACGCTTTTTCATATACGCTCGCTTCTGCGCGCAGGTGAATAACGTTTACGCGTGTGCGTTGGTATTCTCTTCTTGTTGATGGCCCATCGAGGAAACAAACGGGCAGAGCGGTCATTTTTTTTATATATTTTTTTTCACACTCGCCCGAAAAGCTTGCAAAAGTTTTGGGGACCCGCCCCCCCTCCTCTCTTGCTTCTGCCCCCTTTTCCTTCCCTGGGACCTTTTTTTGAAGAGTTGAAAAATGGGTGACATTTATACGAAAAGACACAAATACGTAAACAATGGTAAAGCGTTTGAGGGTAGACAATGGGATAGTGCTTGTGACAAGTGAACACTTGTTTGTGTCGCAAGGGAAAGTGGAGAGAGAGAGAAGGAAGGTTGTCTTATCTCATTTTTTTTTTTGTTTTTTTTTTTTTTTTT